TGGATCTGTGATCGTGTTTTCTGTGAAAAGATATCCACTTGGCCTATCAACCTCAAGGCCATGCTCTATGGCATGTTTTCATGGGCTTGAATTCTACTGTGCAAACACATTCGTGATGTTTTGTCGAGCTCAACAGCGGGGGTGGGCCCCCAAGGTTGTCCACTTCATGGGGATTCTTCCCTATGTGAAGATTGAGAAGCCTAAAACCCAATGAATGGAATAGAGGAAATGATGGGAATATAGTTTTACTTTCTTGTTTTTCGGGTTTAACATGAGACGTTTCCCAGGTAGACGAGTATGCAAAACATGTGTCCAAAATTTTTGTTCTTTTGATGGATCTGAGGGATAATTGAACATTAGAAGTTGTTGGTTCAGATCTACTGCAATTTTCGTTGTAAAAGTAGAACATGTACCATATTCTTATGTCTTTTTTCTTGGGAGTATCAGATTAGATTGCCTGTTTTTCGTCAGTTAGGTTTTGTTCATGATTTTAGAAACATGCAATGCTGTGGTAAATTTGTCATTAGATTCTTGGTATCTGGACCTCCTGACCCCCTCTTTGTTTTCTTGTCAATAATTTGACAATTATCAATTTTGATTGCTCCTTCAGTTGTCCTTTTCTGCCTGTTTTAGCCAACAGTTCTAGTTTTGGTTGCACATTCATGTCATTATTGAACTTTAATTCCTAATTAACGTTTCCGAGAACTTTATAATGATTTTGAGTCGATATTAACTTGACTCTTACTCTCTTTGTTGTAGGATTCGATTCTGTAATAAGAAGATACGGTAAATAAAAAAAAAAAAAGAAAAATTGTTTGCAAATTTGGTACCGTCTAGGTTGCCATAGTTGCCATCTTAGATGTGGTTCAAGTGGCAGGAAGTTACCGAGTTCATACTTTTTAAGAGTATCGGTTTCTTTAGTCTATGTTCTTTCTGTTTAACTATGAAGTTGTAAAACTTGACGAGTTTGAGATCTTCATGTTTATTAAGATCAAATAAATTATAAATAAGAAGATGATCCCGTAATTTCCTTTTCAAAAAAAAAAAAGAAAACGTATTGCTATTTTTTTTTTTAATATGGAAAAGGTGGATTGGGATTTTAATCCGACGTAGTTATTCTAATAAGAGAAATTTAGCTGCCGTAGAATATTTCTTTTTGTTCATAAATGAAATAGGTCGTAGAGATTTAACTTTACTTAATTTTTATAATACCGACAATAAACTACTATTAAACTAAGCGTTACAGGTCAACTATATAGTTATGTAATCGAATATTGATGCTTCCTATTCCTACCGAGTGTAATTGTATTAGTTTAAGAAAGCAGATGATGGTTATATAGCCTTTTGATTTCTAGATCTGATCCATTGGTCTATCAAAAAACTCAGGCTTGAATGAATCCTAGATCCAGTTTGATCAAAACACATGGCGTTTGTCTTGTTCCTTGAATTTGTTTAGGCGATCTAATTCTCAATGTCTAATTGCTCCGACATTACTCGCTGTCTTTCCCGACTGTTAATTGCCCAAAAGAGTAGACGTGTGTGTGAATACGAGAGACGCAATTTGAACCCATCGGGTTCATTAAATCCATCGTCTTTAAGTTTAAGAACTTGGTTAATAGATGTTGAATTGCCGGCGAATTTTGATCTTAGAATTTTTGACGAGTACATCGAGGTATTTAAAACTTTTAAGCACAGTTATAATTGCTAATATTTTAAAGAAGTAAACCATCTTTTTAAGGTAAAGAAATTGAATGTCAGATTTGGAACTTTCAAATATTGTTTTAGAAAGACCATAAATTTACTTTCTAATCGCAAGTCAGACATGACACCCCGTACGTCCTTTATCGTTGGAAAAAAAAAAAGTATGCAATACGTACACCAAAATTAAAGGCACCCACTTGGAAGTTCATAAAGATTTAACTCGATACAAATATGTGTATATATATACATATATATTATATAGATTCACGAATGTGGAATATCGTTCGTGCTTTGTCTGTGATAGAAAACAAATAAGCTTGTTACAGATAGCACGAGATTCCCAAGGGATTAAGCTTTTGATACATTCTTAAATTCCTCGTGCTAACACATCATTACAAATAATGGATTTAGTACAAGTAACCGATGTTCCAAAGCCTACATAGACACGACGAAATGATAGTCTACATTCAAAACGGAGCGTAGTCACCATCGTGCAAACTTTCTATGATGCCCCGTTAGACGCCTGTAGTTTTATCCTTGTTTTTTACCGTATTGATCATGCATAAATGGAGAGGCAATACACATGCATAAATGGAGAGGCAATACACTCCATTGACAGTTTTGTGTTAAGTTTAAATTTCGTTAACATGCACTGTACAGAGTAATGCTCAATAAAAGAATGCATCCACCATATACAAATAGTTTGGCTTTCATTTCTAGGTCACCGTGCATCCTTCATGCCTTAAATAAGGGAAGATTACATAATACAGAGTTGGATATATGGGGGGGGGGGGGGGGGGGCGGTCTATGAATGTCCAATCACTCTCTCCTGCAACATTTGCCCAAGCTTGGCAAATAGAGCTTGCTGCTCCTCAAAAGGAAGGTTTGTTAATATCTGATAAATAAAATACCATCAGTAAGATGTTTTCACTTGTTCAATCATCAAGTTAAAAACACCTTTATTTTTTTATTTTTTTATTTTAAAGCGAATTTCGGATATTTCTGGAATAAATTCCAAAATGATGTGGGATTTACTTGTAAACTCACACTTAGTATAAATAAGAAATATGTGAATTATATTGTCATTTGAATATAAATGAAATTTCAGATGGAAGTGAAACAAAATATTCTAATTCCTATCAAAATTGACAAAATTTAACTAATTGTTTTCATTTTTAATATCACTCGTGTCATCTTCTAGTTAAAATAAATGTGAAAATTTGTAAATAAATTGCAAACAAAATGGATTTAGGACTCAAAATGATTTACCTGGTCCAAGATCATTTCAACTGAGATGCTTTGTGGCTCAATGAACGATTGATGGTAGATGTATGCAAAGACAGCCATGACCATCTATACCAAGAAACCATGTTAGGAGAAGTTCAAAGAAACTGATGCAGCATTCTTGCAGAAACAGGCAAATGTAGGATGGTATTTTATAAACAGATGTGAATGTTTGAGAAGAGTAGATTACTTAAATATGCAATTTTTGGACTTAGACACTCTCTCAAGGACCAGGTAATTTAGCATATGCTATTATTATTATTTTTTGAGATCAGAAATTTAGCATGTGTTAATCATGCATCTATTTCTCTTCGCTCTACTTTCCTTTTTTAATCTTGTGTGGAAAGCTACATATTGCTAGAGTTCCATAACAAACTGATCGTTCTGAATGACACTGACATTCCTTTTTATTCAGTTCCCATCCTATTCCAACTAGAATTGATGATAGCCTGAATACATACATTTAAGTGCCCTTATTTCCACCTTAAATTTCTGGATGCTAGAATTTCTATTCCTACTTAACTATATATCAGGACTAATTAACATCTTAGTATCAAAATCCAAGAGGAGTTGAGGGTGCATTAAACATAAGAAACAATTTTATGCTTACATATATAAAAACTAATCGGAAATCCTAACATCAAGAAATACAAGCTAAGGTACCTTAAATAAAAAAATTAACGTAAA